GCGATGGTAACGATTTTGTTTAATTTAAAAGTGCACATTACTTTTACGATATTCATTATTTTATAAAAGTAAAGTAAAGTAATAGCCTATACTTTCCCACTGCTGGGCAAAGGCCTCCTCTATACAGAGGATATCAGGGCAGAGTCCACCACGCGGCCCCACTGCGGATTGGCAAAATTTATTATTTTATATTTGTTCTTTATTATTTTTTTTCTCTTAGTATTGTCCGTCGTTTATGTTCTTGTTGTTCTAAATAAATTTTACTGTGGTGGGGCCTCGTAGTCTTTACTTTTGCGAATGGGCCTCAAAGAGACTGGCGTGAAGGAAGTCTGTGTATGTCGTTGTGTGATGTAAGGTAGCTGGCCCACTTAATTAAAAGGTGGCGACACATCGGTAGTCTTACGGCTGTTATAGATGCCCATAGGTGGCAGTTATTATTTAACATCAGGTAAACCGTCGGCTCGCTTGCCATTTTCTCACGTAAAAAAATATGAATGTTAGTCTCTAATCAAATCATCGTATTTTTCGAATTGTTTTGCATTAGTGCTTATTCTAATGTTTAAAGTTTTTAAGTGATTATCGGCCAGGCATATTCTTCAAATAGATTTGAGGAGTATTTTTTTAAATATGTACAATTTTTCGTCGTAATAATTTACTAAAATTACATTTTTTTTTAAATTTCAAACAAAAACCTTTGTTTATGTGGGCGCCGCGATTCCAATCCTACATTTCTACCATATCCACAGGTGGTAAACTTAAACCCATTATAGACATAATTTCCATCCAATTTACCCACGTCAAGGTTCTAATACCACATCAATTATTACGCACCGCTTTCGTCTCCAGATTTATGCTCGCAAATTGCTATTCCTTTACCTCCCCGCAACGAATCCCTTAAGCCCGTCATAACAGACCCCAGCTAGGAGGCCCAATGCTAAAACAATATTGTATTATGAACTCTCACCTGTTGTAACCCAGAGGAATATAGAACATGTTGTTACAACCGTAACCATAAATAACACACATTTAACGCTACTTGCCCAATAGTCATAAAAAATATAAACGTTAAGTTAAAATCCATAATTGAAGAATAAATCATTTTCAAACAAATTAATTGATTAAAAAAGAAACTAAGTTTGTAACATTCAAGCTATACAACTACAACTGACTGATTCATACATTTAGAGACTCATTCGTTTTCAAAACTTCGCATTACAAGTCTCTCCTTCTAACAGTTGTTCTATGTTTTATCTCTTTTAAATTAATTCAACAGAGTCTATATGATTTGTGACCTTTACAAATGAACTTTACGTCACAGTTTTATACGTACGCGTTCTTAAATTATTTGTTTTGGAAAATTGTATAACTCGTTAATTATTGATGTTTGATGGAAGTAAGTGTTTAATAAAATTTTAAAAAGATATCCTTTATGTGTGTGTTGATTTACAGTCGCGTTAGTAGCGCCACGTTGTATACTTATCGATAGTGATTTTGGCGTGTGAGAGAGTTGAATAACGCGAAACTCCAACGCATATGATTTCGAACCCCCGCCCTCGACATCCCAAGTTCAACATCCCGGCTGATAAACATTACTGCCGCTTATTCAAAATGTGTGACTATCCTTGGTTTATTTCTTGCAGGACCTAACCGCCTATCACTTAGCTTGTTTAGGCGATTAGTCAGAAGTTTTCCAGCAGTATGAATACGATAGAATTTTATTTAATCTTGTGATGTTATTTTTTATATGAGAAGGTGGCAAACGAGATGGCTGTTCACCTGATGTTAAGTGATAACCGCCGCCCATTGACATTTGCATCATCCGTAGGGTTGATGCGTCGTCACCTTTTAATAAAGTGGGCACCGGCTACTTTACTCATGTGACGAAACGCAGAAGTATAATAATTGCACATCACGCCGGTCTTTCGTGGCTGCGTGGTACTTAGCCGGACATGCCCATTCGACCTGCTGCCATAAAAAGATACAGGCACTTCAACCTAAGGTAAATTCGAGTGGATCGTTAAATGAAACGTTAGAAAACGAAGCTAAAGGAAAGCGGTGCTCATTGCTGGCTTCCATAACGGCTCTGGATGCGCACCTGACTGATTTAAAACAGCAATAAATCCACCATTAAGCCCGCCCGCTCGACCGTGGAGTAATCCAACCGTTTTCCGTAGCGGAGTCGAGCTATAAAGAACTCGCAAAGACGGTCGCGTAATGCTCTTTTATGGAAAATATAAATTTAACACTAGTTGCGCGTACAGACATCTCTCGTGTACATCTACAAATAAAAACCGGGCAAGTGCGAGTCGGACTCGAGCGCAAAAGTTTCTGGTCATCATTACAATAAAACATTATCTATAAAAACGGCGAAAAAATGTGTTGTAAGGACGTTTTACGTAATATAAATTTTGACATAAATTGTACGTGGATACACACCAAGACCCGAAACAGTTATCTGTGGGTCACGCGAATAGTTGTCCCGTGTGGGAATAGAACCCGCAACTCCGGGCTTCGAAGCCGATACCTTGGCAACGGGGCCACGTAGTCATTAATATATTGATGTATTTTATAACAAACAAGTAGTCACTGATCGGTAGATACAGCGAATGGTAACTATATTCAAAAGTTGTCCAACATATCAAAAGTATATACGCCTGATATAATTTAAATTAGATTAAACACCGGTCGAGAATAATAATGTAATCTGTATTTGGGATTGATCATCGATGTATTGTTAGCAATAATATTTATTACAATTTTAAATTAATATATGTTAGCGAAGTTAGTTGGATATTACAATCGATTTTATTATCGTACTATTTTCAAATCTAAGACGGATTCCACGCAATCTTTCTGTACGGGAGACTCAATCCACTGCAACAGTGAGGCAGCATTAATGCGGATGATTTCGGGAACAAATCACCAAATATTTTTTACTAAAAAATCTAATATTCACGTCATTTATCCTAAACGTTTGTATTTCTAATAAGATATCCACACGTTTGTTGTAGATAAATCGTCTTGTATCATAATTTACCATTACTTTTAAAGTAGAGAGCCAAACGAATTGTGTTCAGCCGACTTTTCCAGCCATCATTAGAATACCAATGTGCAACCGTAATCGGTTTACCGACTTGCATGGTTTCCTTTGCCCCGAGCTTAACGATGATCGACGCTTGGCACACTGAGAAATCGCAAATCGAGAAAAAACTATTCCAAAAATCGGTCTACTTTTAACAGTTCGCGTTTCCGATCCGCAAGACAGTCTATGCGCTGTTTGTATATGCTATTTAGTGTTTCTGTAACACGGGACATATACCTTTATGTCATATGAAAAATTGGCAATCGCCTACAACAGCTTAGGCGACGCAGATGCGTTTTCAATCGTTAAAAAAGTCCCGGTTACCTCTGGACTGAGGAGTCCACGGACGAATCGCGAAAGTATTTTACTTCCACCCCACGCTGGTTTTCTGTGAAGGCCGTGGTACTTCCCCACTGAAACAAAGTGGCCCTACCATTAAGAAAGAAAACTGTAAAACGAAAAAAAAATTTAATAATAATAATAAATTTCTGTAATATCTTAAAAAGATGTTTACCAAATTTGTTAAAAGTACTTTAGTGGTAAAGACCATAATAGTGAATAATAAATAAACTACGTATTGTACAATTGTGAGGTCATTAAGAAGAATAAGGTAAAAGGTAAGAAGAAGGTTCTAAATAGGTCAGTTCACGACCTGTATTTAGGAGACTCAATTTGAATCTGGTGTTCTATTCCAACTGATGTGTTCGCCAGCCGCCGGCCTAGCTACAATATCCACCTTACTAATTTTGATGAAACCTTACCGAAAATGTAATTGGATCAGCCATGACCGGTCGGCTTTACGGCGGATTGAGTGTGTTGGCGGTAAAAATCTTACAGCCCGCTAATGGATTACGCCTAGGCCAAATATGGCTCATATACCCAAAACCGTGATAGCTTCAAACGCGCTCGCCTTTAATTCAATATACTCGAGCAACCTGACATACGTTTGCGTGAGAACTGACAACTGTATTCACGATATTTATTTTGTGATTTAAATAATCTTTATTTAACTAGATACTGCGTTATAATAAAAGTTTCAATGTATTAAATACCTTTTTTATATTGTTAGTGTCGTTTTTTTTTCTACAAACGTATTCTACGTTATAAGGAGAAAGGTAAAATTTTTGAAAAGATTTTTATCTTGTTACGCCAAAGAATAACTTCTTACGCGCGTACATAAGTACACACACATTTTTTTTTGAAAAGTAGATGGAATTAGGTCGTAATCGTAAAAATCTCTAGTGATAAACTCTTGGTTAATGAGTTCCAATTGAATACAGGAGCAGTCAATTACTCTGTATCTGCGAGGCGTGCGTCAGACGATGTCAAGTGCGCGCAAACTGCATGCAAATAGCGAAAGGGAACATTACAATATCGCTCTTTGATATCACCGCCTCGCTTTTGTATCCGACTTTGAATGGGTTCTATGAAAGGTGGAGAGGGCTAGATGATATCTGCGCCCATAGTCTTTAAACGTGATAGCCTGCCTCTTCTATTTTTCATTTAATGGTTCATGAAAATCGAATTGTACAGTTTGCATAATTTTACATTTAATGTCACTATTTTCCAGCCCAATCGTGATTTACAAGCCTGACCTTCGACCTTTGCGTTTAGAAACTGTAGATCTTGTCTACAGGTTATCTTTTGTATCTCAGATACGCAATAACATATTCTGCTTTGTGTTTGCATATTGAAACGAACATTTATTAAAATTCTTCCACTATGAGCGTCGTATAAATCTATTGTACGTGTATTTACAACATATTCTCGGAATTTCGGTACGAATTTCACGCGAAGACGTCAGTGGTACAGTCGTAAATATGCCTAGAACGAACCAGTTAGAAACGGATCCGCGTAAAATGCGTGCAATCGTGTCTGGCAATAAAACTCACAGCACGATGGACAATTGAAAACGCGTATGATGCCGAATTCAGCGCGCGGTGTAACGGGCCGGCCGTCGAATGCGCCAAAAGTGTGGGTCGACCCAATAGGCCCCTCGCCCCCACCGCTGCGTGAGGAAGCATACTCGCTTCCGGCGCTACGGCCGAGGAGGTGAATCATGCATTTGACCGTGCGACGTCCACACTGACCTAATAACGTGGACAAGTCTCGCTGATGTGAATGTCAATATTATTTCGTTCATGAAACTGTGCGTTTGTAATAATGTTAGTGCATTTGAAATATTTACATGCACATTCTAATAATTCAAAAATGAATACATTTTAGTGAAGCCTATACATAAGCCTATACAGCACCAAGAAGGCTCGCTAGTAAATTATAAAGACTACACGATTCCCACACGGGACAACTATTTGTGTGACCCACAGCTAGTTGCTACGCATCTGGGTCTTTGTCCGTTTATGTTTGTAAAACGTCCTTACAACACAGGATAATGTTATCCCAAAGTAAGGGCATTGTTTTATTTTCTTTTTATAAAGAAAAAACGACCAAGCCCTTTCGGTGGGCCAGGAAATGATAAAAATCATCGTTAATCAGTTGTCAATTAATACTTTGAAACATTTAAAGGCAATTAAAATAAAGAGAAAAAAGCAGCGAAGCGGCGCGGGAGTGTTAAACAATTACGACAAGAGCGCGCCAAATGTGGACCCAACTTAATTATGTCCATCACAACTGCTAATGTCTCCGCCGTGCCGTGTAATTTCAAAGCAAAAACTTTACCCGCCCGCTGATTAATTAATCGATGTCCACGTTACACGTGATTCCTTCTCACCGTGCAGTGCTTGTTTCCATTGCCCTCCGGCAGGAGATGGGAGGGCCACGGGCATGCGACTTTGCCCTTTCGACCTTTACTTCTTATTCGATTTCTTTATCCTTATCTGACCCTGGCTGGGAAACACAAACTTTCATTGGTTACGCAAGATCTTTGCCGTTTCGTAAATAACTTTAGAGGGTGTGGAAAAGGTGAACGGTGAGGCAAAATTATGTATACAGAGGTTCTGTGTTTAGTTAACATGTCAAAGACACCATGTTAACATGTTCCTCACAAGCTTCCTAATGTTTTCTATTTACTGAGTATTATGAACATATATACATACACTATTAAGTACTTCAACATTTATTATATTCGATGAAACGTGTCCATGCGACCTGTGATTTGGACACCGCCTAATTTTAATGCAAAGACGTCTTGCCGCCATATGTTCGCAAAGCTTTTGGCTCTTCTAAAAAGGAGACTTCAATGTCGTCTTCATTAAATCTTCCCGACCCATTGGTCCGCAGCTATTCGCCATAATTAAATCTCGTGGCAGAATGGAGACGTCAGTCAGATGCCGCTGATAGCCGCGGTATGTGCCGGTCTTAATTATCGGCCGCCGAGACTTTCTTTTAGCGGAACGTGGCGTGATGCAAAGTTAGGACCGTATAGACCAGTTCGATATACACGACGCGCGTGACGGCCCCTCGTTGGACGCTCTAGACGACACGTTTTCGATGATTGCTACAATTGTGACCGATTTACGATGACGGTGCCAGCAACTGATTGTGCACATGCGACATATCCACTACATCTAGAGCTATCCACTGACGGTCCGCTATGATCATTGATGCATAAAGATTTAGATTAAATCATTGTTTTGTAGATTCAACAGCCTTGACCAATGTAGGAAGGCCCCGCTTACATAGTCTGCTGACAGTACGCGGACACGTCTTGCGCATGAGATGGCCTCGTTTACTGCTTACAGTACGTGGAAGACGTATCCGCGTACTATCAGCGGCCAATGTACTGTGATTGGACCACGGAGTGTCTCCTGGAAGATAAAAGAAACCTAGCAGAAGACGTGTCAAGTGGGAGTTATGTACAAATACCAAATAGTGTAGCATGCAGTTAAAAACAAAAGGACCATTAAAAAGCAATTAAACCATTTTCGAGATCTATAAATCAAAAACAGCCTTCACTGTATCACGATGTATCAATGGGCAGGTACATCCGGGAAAGTACAACCTCAATGAAGGCCGTTGTGAAGTGGAAGTGTTAAACTTCTGCGATTCTTCTGATGAGTGAGGTAACCGGGGCCCACTTTATTAAAAGTCGATATACCGAAGCGTTAAATTGAGTTTAACGAACGAACTCAACAGCACATATTATAATTTAGATCAGCCAGAAGTTCATCAACATCACCAGTTTGTTTCCTTGACGTCTACTTAATAAATTGTAGTAAGAACGGATGAATTTTCGAATTTCAATTTCAAATATTTAAGCACCACAAGAAGAGTTTTCGTGTAACAAATACTCTGAACAGCGACAGGCTTATCACACGTCACGTTCGTTTGGCAGACAGATATAACTAGCTTCTTGTTATGACGTGAACACATGCGAGCACGTATCCAAGCTTTAATAGAGATAATAAAAACATTTCAGTATTACGAGGAATGCATACGGAATTTATCGTTAACGTTTATTTAACTCGCATACCGTTTTATCGGAGAATTTCATAAACTCATGTGTTATTGTCTGCCATATTTGTCTTTCACGACGCTTTGCTTATAAGCTGTTGAAAAAGTATAAGTGACCATCATAAAATTCATCGCTTAATATATTATGATTGCATAGGTGACCTTTAAATAAATACGCCAACTGTCCAGTGTGTTTTATTTGAAGCCATTCATCAGCCATCAGTGAGATAGATATAAAACGATGTGCCAATGCAAGTTTAAAATGTTATTAATATTTACTTTATTTATTTTTGGTCCTTTTTTTAAAAGACGAATGGTTGACTTGTTTTTTTATTAGTTGCTTTGATATAATGTTTTCATTTGATTCTTGTAACATTAGCAGTGGAATGTTTATTTTTTTAAGTTTTCGCAGTATTTCCCAATGTTGGCGATTCACGTTGAAACATAAAACAGCCATACTAATAAATTAAAGTAAATTGACATACTGTGGTAGAGCCACGCAACAGTTTTCGCTTTGTCACGAAGGGGCAAGTCCGTCTGGGGACCTCAGAGCAGACCGCCGTAAAGTGGAAGATTTATACTTCTGCGTTTCGTCTGGCAGGTGAGGTAACCGGGGCCTACTTTAGGTGGCAACGCATCTGCAATCCTACGGGTGTTGCGAATGTCCATCGGCGGCGTTTACCAGTAAACATCAGGCTTAGATAAACAAAATACTGCATATCTGGTTATACATACTAATATCTGGTTATATATACACTTTCATTTATAATGATATTAACGTCAATATTGATATCACTTCGATATCTCGGTCGATTTCAGGCGCTGCGATAAAACTGGCAAAAGGTGGCCCATTAGGTCACTGGTAGTCTTATCCTGTGCAATAATAATGCAAGAGTTATATACTTTTTGCCCTTGGGAAAAATGGCACCGGTTCGAATGTAATAAGGTTACACAGTCGATTTCAATGTTACTGCATCATAGACTGGTTTTGAATACGTAGAAGTATGTTAACATATTAATATGACACGCATACATACGCAGACCGAGAGATTGTCTTTTGTTAAACTGTGTTTTTATTTAGATATTCACGACGTGTAAATTGGCAACTGTAAAATGTCAAGGAATTTTGTGACAGAATTGGATTGATTGTTACAATCAAGCATTTTATATTGAATGGTAAAATCAAAACAACTGCATTCTGTGCAACGGGGAAAGATTTATGTTAAGTTGTCAAGAATTAAGTGCCACACAACATATAACAACATATGCATCATGTAGTGGGGATGGTAAAGTAACAGCCTACACAAGTCCCACTGCTGGGACTTGTGTAGGCTCTTGTGTAGTCCAAAGGCCTCCTCTGTACAGAGGGTATCAGGGCATAGTCCACCACGCGGCCCCACTGCGGATTGGCGGACTTGGGGGTAGTGTTTATCAAAAAAAAAAAAAGATAAAGATACAAGTCCCGATAGCGAAAACGATGACAACACAATCTGGGAGATGGCTCTGATCAAACAACGGGAAGGTGCTTAAATTTCAATTTCTAATTTTGACCCAAATAAACAAATAAATTCCGTACGTGTCGAGCTAAATAAAACCGTTTAATAATAAAACCGTTTAAAAACATGCCTAGGAGAGTTTGGATCAAGTCTAATCGAAAAATAATTTTGAGTTTTACCTTGACTTTGAGATTTAATTATAGAAAACAAGACGAAGGCCATGGAACGTATCAAAGATTTACAAGTAGACTATACTCGCTACTAATATTCGCATCATAATTATGCTCCCACCCTTATCTCACCTAGGTGGGGTCGGCAAAACATTTTTACGATCGGCCGCCTGCCTGACGTTTTTTTACGTGGTAGGGCCACGCAGCAGCCTCGGCTGTTGCACGAATGGGCAGGCCCGTCCGGTTAAGTACCACGACCTCACAGAAGACCAGCGTAAAGTGGAAGTATGACAAATAACGCGGAAGGCGTTTCGTCTGGTGAGTGAGGTAGCCGGAGCCAAATTTTCAAAAGGTTGTCAACGCATCTGTAACGGCAGATGTCCATGGGCGGCGGTATTCACTTAACATCAGGTGAACCGTCTGCGCGTTTGACAACTATTCGCATATAAAACCCTTCTTTGGTAACAAACACCCAGATCCGGAACAATTATCTGTGGGTCACACAAATACTTGTCCCGTGTGGGAATCGAACCCATGATCTCGGACGCCGAAGCCAATAACTTATCAACTAGAGTAATACTCGAATAACTGTTGCAATTGTGTCCGACGTCAGTCTATCTAAGCGGAGCAACATGAAGAGAAAGTACACGGGAGATAAAACGTAAAGGTCGTTGCACCGGTTGTCAATTGTACTATTCTAGGCGCACTTTTATTTTTAGCCGGCTCACTAAGGAGGTGGCTGTTGATGTGTGAAATTACTCCGAATCAATTTGCGGTTAATGGAGCGAATCCAACGCTCACACTCGGGGTCACTTGGGTATGATCTAAAATTCATTTTCTTACTCCGTTTCTTAGTTTGAACACATATCGATGTAATTAGACGATATCTTGTCACACGTGGGAACGAAATTGTTGTCTCCGACTCTCTTAAAGTAATTTGAACGTGTTATTAGTTTGCACTAGCCTTCATGTGTTTACAGGTTTTCAACAGAACAATTTGATTATTAGTTGCACTGGAATTAATTTTGTAATTCGTTTGATTTCACATACGAAAAATGACGACACCATACCAAAATTATAATTATTTATAAATTATTCATAACGACTTTTTACTAACATTTTAAACATCATTTTATTTAATTCAACATATAAATTCTGATTATATTACCTGTGTTAATGATTTTCTTCGGATTATCACAAATGTACGAACTGTTTTTTTATTACTTTACATTTTTCAGATTCACATAACAGCAGGCACTAATTGAGGAACAAATTTTATAACACGTCATTCAAACTATATGAACCGTATAAAGACGAAATTCATCGGCTCATTAGAAGGCGTAGTAAAATCGAGAAATCCGAATAAAACTATTTTATTTCCCAATATCAAATCTCTCCGGTGTATCAGAAGGCGAAACCAATCGTTTAAAAATAAACATTCTCTCCATTATAGCAGAACATGAGATAGTGAAAGTGTTAATGAAATTCTGCAACTGCATAAAGCAACGTAAAAACTACCAGACGGGTTGCTCTAGTGCTAACGCCAAGTTTTTGCGCGCTATCAATGTTCGGTTAGAAATGCAGCTAAGCAGCCTTTAACACTTTCGATCTTGAGCACATAAATGGAAATACTGATAACTTACTACAGTGTTTTACACTTGAGGAAACCGTAAAGAAATATCTCATTATTTGATTTCAAATCAGTTGGCCTTAATATGTTAATGACTCTTAGTAAAAAACTATAACTTAGGGATATTTTGTACAATTCCTTTTAAAAGTAATAAGTAAAGTGACTGCTGGAATATGTATGTCCCACTTCTGAGCCAAGGCTTCCTCAACAGAGGGTACTAGAGCATAGTTCACCACGTGACGTCATTGCGGATTGGGCGACCTTACAAGTCATCGAATTTGTTTTTTTATTTATTTATTTGGGATAAATAAACAGTGTCACCAGAAAGAAAAATAGCTCAAAGTAAATATAACAATACGAATTCAATAATTGTGACACCAACACCATTTACCGCAGGTTACTTTTCCAAGATTGAGAGATAAACGTCAATAGTTATTATTATTAATAGAATCGTTTATGATTTACTAGGTAATCTATTCTTTTTTTATGGAAAAAGGGGGTAAACGGGCTGATTGATTATGACCCCCGAACAGGGGCTTCCAGATCTATCCCTTTCTTTGAAATAAATTTAATGATGATAACACTTAAATATGAGCAAAAATGAGCGGATTCCTCTCAGAGTAGAACTAAATCAATATGAAACCATTGTCACATTGATAGCAGCTCGGGGGAGAACTAGAATTCAACACACGAATGTCGACTTTGTCTTGTTTTCTAACAGATTACAAACGCTCGAAACATATTCTAATGAAATTTCGTCTGGTCCCCCGTTTCCGTCGGATTTTGTGGGTCGGCCAAATTGATATCGATTGATACGCAGCCGTGCGTGGCGTAAGTCCGTAATCTCATATTACATCCCTCATCCGGTGGGAGACGGCCTTCGTGAATGGCTTCAGGTCGAACGCTATAGGGCATGCCACGCATGAATATTATAGTCGCTTTCGCGTTTATCGCGTCCTCGATAATTTAGGGTACACACAACTGTTTTTATTAGAAGGTGGCAGTGGGAGCTGGCGTTTCACGAGATGTTAAGTTGCATCCGTAGCGTTGCAAATGCTTTGCCACCTTTTAATAAAA